TTACATAATATATATTATATATTATTTTCTTCTCCAGAATGCGTAGTTTACATGTTCAAATAATTGTTTTTATTTTTTGCATCATTTAATAGTATTCATATTTTTTTTCTTCCCCCCAATTTCCGGCGCCCCCCATGGATGGATGCGCCCTTAGCATTCGCCTATACTGCCTATGCCGAGGGCCGGCCCTGTTTGACTCAGAGATGATTTCAATACTAACCTGTTATAACTGAAGCCTTGAGGTTTAGTTCTCACACAGAAACAAAGCAAACACATAATTTTCCAACCAGGAGAAACACTTTTGAAATCAGCTCACTCTCAGAGTTTCATGGATTATTAAAGAAGTTTTATTATTTTTTTGGTACATAGCAAATGACAGCATTTATTACAGTGATGTTGAACATCGTCATGATTTCTCGAGGATTCTGCTGTGTTCAGAATTTAAGACGAATTGCTTCATCGTAATCTCATGGAAACCAAATTGGTCAAAACTGTTAATTATAAAATCAAGTAGAATTTGTGATGCAAGATTTAAGCAAAATCATGGAAAATCTTCAAATACAACATTTGTTAAAAGAAGCCACATCTCAAAACCTTAATTGGCGAAAGCTAAATTCTTCAGAAATGCAAAAAAAAAACAAAATCAATCAAAATTCTTATGAATCAAAAACATTTCTCGGTTCCAAAATCACAACACTTGTTTACGGACAATGTTAACATTTTAAGTACGAAATAATTAGTCTCTTGAATTTGGGAAAATCCTAAATCACAAAACTAATTTGAATTCTTTGAAAAAAGTGAAATTCTAAAGAAATTAAAATGTTTCATAAAAGTCCAAAAAGTAATGATTACATATTATTGATCATCTTGTGAAATAAGTACAATCCTCAATAATACAAAAACCAGCACATTTCTTGATCACATAACAAAGCACATTACTTTTTAAAAAGGAAACTTCTACAAATTATGTACATTTTTAATTACAACATCTTATGAATTTGAGAATGCTCTCCAATAGGTGGAGTTCTTCAAAACAGCTAAATTACTACAAAATACAGAAAAATACCATAAAAAATTGATATAAAGTAAGAAAAATACTGAATGATTGAAAATGATTACAAACTGAGCTCAGTACATGTGAAATAAGAACATTAACCTGTTAAGCCCTGAGCCTGTTTTTCAGGTCTCAGGCTCGAAAATGACATTCCCAGAATAAATTACCATATCTTCCCTTCTAAAAGGGTTAAATTAATAATCTTTTTTCTCAAAGTAATGATAAACCTGTGAGTTGGATGTAGAAAAGTCAGAACAATATAGATCTTTTTTATTTTAAAGAAAATTCAGATTTTACATAGTAAAGAACTGTAAATTATAGTGTCCGTCCAACAATTCTTTTTTACTTATAGTGAAAACTACCCTTGGATGATGGTAAGGTAGACTAAAAGCTTTAGGAATCCAAAGCACAACATATAATAAGTACCCTGTATCAAGATTGATGCAAAACAAGTGACATTTGACCTTTTTAGAGAGGTTTAGCCAAAAACACTCCACCTCTGAGGTGATTTGGGTGGAAATGTTTTTTTTTCCATATCTCTGGCTTCCCTTTGTCGATTTTGATGGTTGACACCTCTTTCTGACCGTTAGAGCCAATAGAATCGAAGGGGAATCTCCCCTCTCACTAACATTTTACAACAAAAAGGTGGGGGCTTCACGCATGTAGTTTTGCATCAGAGCAACCTTCACTCTAGCTCTGACATCTCGAAACGGAACAGTTTTATTGCTAATGGATTATCAGAAATCATTTCAAAGGGACACAGACACATTGGATTAACCTGTGGATTAATTTCAGCAGCGTTTTTATCGTTTTAATGCCATTGAAGACCACGTTTGACCAGAGAAAGACACAGGTGAGCCATGTTAGCATTGTTAGCTACCTCGCGCCACATGTTTTGATGTCTGTTTTTGTTTATAACGTCGCAATTTCGCATAATTGAATTCGATTCTGTGTCACCTCACGATGTGAAACGATGTCATGGATGTGCAGAAAAGATAAATAATAAGGTTTTGTGAGTGAATTTCGGTGCAGTAATCTGTTAGCATTTTTCGCTCGTTGCTAATTCAGAGGCTCAGTGTTAGCATTGTGGGTTTTATTTAAAAAAAAAAGATCAGTTAGATGAGTTTCTTCCCGTTACATGGATATAAAACATTCATAGTGTATTAAATGAACATGCCCTCAGACACTGTTTCCTGCAAGATGTTGCGGCAGTGCCCCCGGTACCGGGGTCTCTCGGGCTTAACAGGTTAAAGAAAAGTTAAAATCTTATACATTTTGGAAAATTACAAATATAATCGGATTTCTCTAAAAAAGCTTTTTTTTTTTTTACAAACAATCTTTTCAGACCAAAATCAAGCTGAATTTTTCTGAAATAAGAGTGTATGGACTATTTACTTTTGTTCAATTCCTATTTGTATATTGTTCAGCTAAATCTGGTCCTGCTGCTGAAATGACCCATGTGAACCACAAGGGGATCAAATATCCTATCTCGCTGATCAGATGAATTGTTGAGAAAAAAGTAACATTTTAAAAACTTTACTTTTTCTTATTTGTTGATTGAATATATAAAAAAACTTGTTGTGCGCGAGGTCTACACATCCAACACTAGGTGGCGCTGTAACGCGTTCCTCCTGTTATCTCAGGAATCACTACATTAGATTCAAACACTGGGTATTGTAACACTGTTTCTAGAGGATATTTGAACATTAATATATGGCATTAATTGGCCAACTTTGTTCCTGAGTGGCCTGGGTTGGTGTGTCTGTGGTTTCAAACTGCACAGATTGCATTGACTTTTCTAAATAAAACAAACTTGTGATGTGTTTTAAAGATCTTCATCTTCAGTGGGAACCAATGGGCTTGGAGCTGACAGGAAGTCAGGAAACATGAGGCACTCACACATTGCTGATGACTTTCAGAGTAAAAGCTATACTTTTCTAACGTTGGTTAAAAGCTATTAACCTGTTAAACCCGAGAGACCCCGGTACCGGGGCACTGCCACAACATCTTGCAGGAAACTGTGTCTGAGGGCATGTTCATTTAATAAACTATGAATGTTTTATATCCATGTAACGGGAAGAAACTCATCTAACTGATCATTTTTTTTTTTTTCAAAAGAAAACCCACAATGCTAACACTGAGCCTATGAATTAGCAACGAGCGAAAAATGCTAACAGATTACTGCACCGAATATCACTCACAAAACCTTATTATTTATCTTTTCTCCACATCCATGACATCGATTCACATCGTGAGGTGACACAGAATCGAAGGGTACCCTCATTATCACTGAATTATACGAATTTGCGACGTTATAAACAAAAACAGACATCAAAACAGGTGACGCTAGGTAGCTAAAAATGCTAACATTCTTACCTTGGCTCTGTAGTCTCTCCAAAGTGGTCTTTAATGGCATTAAAACGATAAAAACGCTGCTGAAGTTAATCCATAGGTTAATCCAATGTGTCTGTGTCCCTTTGAAATGATTTCTAAAAATCCATGAGCAATACAACGGATAATCCATGCTATTCCGTTTCTAGATGTCAGAGCTAGAGTGTAGCTTCACTCTAATGCAAAATTACATGCGCAAAGCCCCCACCTTTTTGTTTCACAATGAGTGTGTGTGGGGGACTCCCCCTTCGATTATATTGGCTCTAACGGTCAGAAAGAGGTGTCAACCATCAAAATCGACCAATGGGTTCCAGAGATATGAAAAAAAAACATTTCCACCCAAATCACCTCAGAGGTGGAGTGTTTTTGGCTAAACCTCTCTAAAAGGTCAAATGTCACTTGTTTTGCATCAATCTTGATACAGGGTACTTATTATATGTTGTACTTTGGATTCCTAAAGCTTTTAGTCTACCTTACCATCATCCAAGGGTAGTTTTCACTATCTGTAAAAAATAATTGTTGGACGGACACAATAATTTACAGTTTTTTACTATGTAAAATCTGGATTTTCTTTAAAATAAAAAACATCTATATTGATTCTGACTTTTCTACATCCAACTCGCAGGTTTATCATTACTTTGAGAAAAAAGATTATTCATTTAACCCTTTTAGAAGGGAATATATGGTCATTTGTTCTGGGAATGTCATTTTCGAGCCTGAGACCTGAAAAACAGGCTCGGGGCTTAACAGGTTAAGAGCTGATAAACCCATGTGTGTGAGAGGAGCTCCTTGGAGCTACTACTCTGCTCCCTGAGCTCCTTCCTCTTCAGCAGGAACACCCAGGTAATCCAGCTCGATGTCCTCCTGTCGGCTCGGCCTCTGCCCCCTGGTAGCCTTGAGAGACATGACAACACACAGTGAGACTTCCTGCATCACTCCTGTTCAATAACACACACTGTTTCATTCAGTCAGTGGTGGAACAACAACATGTTTCCGTACCTTATCATTCAGTCAGTGGAACAACAACAACATGTTTCCGTACCTTACAGTAGAAGTAAAGGCCGATGGTCACCAGCAGCTGAATCAGCGGCAGGACGACGGCTCGGATGATAAAAGGTTCTGGATCTGATCGAACACATGGACAGCATCACATCAAGAGTCAGCAAACACACAGAGACCTGAACCCACTTCAGCATGGAGACTCCTCTCTACAGTTATATTACAATAAACTACATCTTCTTAAGATCTTCATTCAACCCCAACCCTTTTCCCTGTTCATACCAGACAGTAGGACTGTAGGGAGAAGCTGCTAGCTGTATCTGTTAAACACTCAGTACTCATGGCAATACTCCAATGTAAACTACAGCTGACTGGAGAATGTCTGTTCTGGATTCATGTCTTCACGGTTCATTGCACTTATTGTACGTTGCTCTGGAAAGCTACATGTGATGTAAGGGTGTGACTGCTTCAGGGCTCACAGTAAAACACTCAGTCCTCACCAGCGTTCTCCTGGGGAGCATCACGCTCTGTCCTACAGTAAACTCTAACAGCTCACCTGTGACGGTGACGGAGAGCAGACGGCTCTCAGAGGAGAAGTCCTGAGAAAAAGCAGAGACGTGATAAACACAGCTGTAGCTTCCCTGGTGGGCGGGCTCTGCAGCTGGGAACAGGAAGTGGGCAGAGTGATTGACAGCTGGCTGGGTGTAGTTGTTTGCTGAGTTGATGGAGGTGTAGCTGAGCAGGAAGGAGCCTCCTGGGTACTGAGGCTGGATGGAGCAACTGATGGTGAAGGTGGAGCCTCTGAACACCTGGAACCCCTGCTGCTGGGCCCCGGAGACCCCGTACATGGAGGAGGACACAGAGATGTTGGGCTGAAACAGCTTATCTGGAGAGAGAGAGAGAGAGAGAGAGAGAGAGAGAGAGAGAGAGAGAGAGAGAGAGAGAGAGAAGAGAGAGAGGAGCAGAGAGAAGGAGGAGAGAGAGAGAGAGAGAGAGAGAGAGAGATAGAGAGAGTAGAGGAGAGAGAGAGAGAGCAGAGAGTAGAGAAGAAGAGAGAGAGAGAGAGGGAGAGAGAAGAGAGGACTTTTGACTTTAATAAAAACCTTTATTTAAGTCATTTTAAATAAACCCTTACCAAAATCATCACATTCTGACACTTTTTTTTTTTTTTTTTTTTTTTTTTTTTTAAATCTTCATATCATAGCTCACACATAGAAAACCACATTTTTTTTAAAAATTCAGCTCCAGTGTACCATCTTCCCTTGCCGTACATAAAATGTGATTGACCCCCCAAAGAGTCCTGAAAGCAGGCAGGTTGTTAGTCACACCGTAAAAGGCATGTTCTATTTTTAGCCGAGCAGCCACCAAACCCTTCACACTCTGAACAACATCTGTCCAGCCCTGCCCTAGCATCTGGTTCTTCCTGGTCCTCCAAATTGCTAGCTTAGCAGTTGCAAAGATAGCATTAATCAGAGTGAGAGTTACTCCTTTTCTTTGCCACATATTTAGGCCCATATACAAAGAGTGGAAGTGAAAACACTTCCCCTAGACCCTTCCCACCCCTCCTTTCAGTAGCCCAAATAAGCCTGCTAGCCGCGTGGCAAGAAACTACCAGGTGCTCAACTGTTTCACTCTGCTGGCAAAAAGGGCACTCCCTCCCCAGCACTTGGATCAAGGTGAGCTCGGTGTCTGTTTGTAGCTAAAGCTCCATGTATAATCCTCCACTGGAGGTCAGCCATCCGTTTTCAACAGGACGCTTATACAGGACCCTCCACCTGCCTTTAGGGGTAAAGTCTGAAGGGAAAAAACTCGTTCCACCTTGACTCCTTGACCTCAGCCAGAAGACGGATGTTAAGAGTCTTGACACAGCACTGGTACAGCTGCTTTTTTCCCACAGGAACTGAAACTGCCCAGAATTGGAGTTTTTAGCGAGAGAAGTTTTCCACGCTCCTCTTGCCACTCTCCGACAGCAGGACTAACGGTGAGTGAGGGAAACTCATAGTCATTTTCCTCTTTCCAAGTTTCCAATCTAACAGGATCCTCAATGAATGCCCTCTCTGGCGGCGACAGGGACTGCATGATGTCTTCAACGATCCTCTGTAGCACTCTGGAAGACCTGATGTTTTATGGTGTTACAAAGAGTTTCAACTGATGTTCTTGTTAGATGACCCAGCTTAGTGATGCCAGCCTCAACAAACTTTGTTCCCAAAGCTACAGAGGAAAGGTTGCAGTTGGGAAGAGGGTCATTCTTTTGAAGTGGCTCCTCGAACAACCACATTCCCGGTCTCTGATCCTGGGTCCGTGTGACCTTTAGTGTCTGCCAGGCGTTAATAACTGATCTGTAGAAGGGATGTAAGTCCCGTCAGGTCAGCTTCAGTCGTCCTGATTAGGAACAGGTGTTTAATCCATCCCAAGCCTTCCAGCCTTCCTAAGGGAGTAGCCGAGCAGGATCCAACCAGCGCTGCCCGCTGCCGTACAGCAGTCTCTGAGCAGTCTGCAGTCTGAAAGCAGCTGTTCTGGACTGAATGTCTATCAGTCCCTGCCCTCCCTCCTGCCACAGGGAGATACAGGGCCGAAGAGCCTTCAGCCAGTGTTTGTCCAGACCAGAAAAAGTTTACAAGGCACCGCTGTAGTTCTTTCACCAGCCCTGGTGGTGGTGCCCAACACTATGAGCTTGTGCCAAAGAGAAGAGGCAACGAGATTATTCACAATCAGAGCTCTTCCCCTGTATGACAGCTGAGGTAGCAACCATTTCCATTTAGACAACTTAGCTTCCACCTTGTCAAGCACTCCCTCCCAGTTCTGTTTTTGAAATTCGTCAGTCCTCTAACTGCACCCCTAGGAGACTTTAAATCCCTCGTCTACCCCACCTGAATGCCGCCAGGAAGACTAGGAATGTCCCCTACTCTCCACTGGCCCACTAAAACAGCCTCGCTCTTTCCCCAGTTGACCCTTGCTGAAGATGCTTTTTCGTAAAGGGCAAGGCTTTTCTTTCAGTTCCTGTACATCTGTGTGGTCCTGGATAATTATATCTATATCGTCTGCATATGCTGACACACAACAGGAGGGCTGTGAGACATCTCTGGTAGACAGAGACCCCTCAGTCGGCTCCTCAACCTGCAGAGAAGAGGCTCAATGGCAATACTGTAAAGCTGACCTGAGATAGGACAGCCCTGCCTGATCCCCCTCCCAACCGGCACAGGAACACTCAACCCTCCCCCCACTTTTATTACACAAAACGCTTCGTGATACAGAATCCTTACCCAGGACAGGAACCCCTCCCCAACACCAAAAGCCTGCAGTGTGGTAAAGAGAAAATTGTGATCGACACGATCAAAAGCCTTCTCTTGGTCAATAGATATGATGCCAGCATTGATATTATACACTTTACATATGTCAAACACATCCCTCATTAAAAACAAACTATCAAGCATAGACCTATCTGGCACACAGTATGATTGATCCACAACAATTAATTGACCAATAAACAGTTTTAGTCTGTTTGATAAAACCTTTGAGAGGATTTTGTAGTCCGTACATAAAAGAGCCACTGGTCTCCAGTTTTTTAAAGAGGTCAAATCTCCTTTTTTAGGAAGCAGAGAGAGAACTGCACGCCTGGAGGAAGCTGGGAGCATCCCCTTTTCAAAACATTCTTTAAAAACATCCAAAATGTCCTGTCCCATAAGACTCCAAAAAATGCTTAAAAAAGTCTGATGATAATCCATCTATTCCAGGAGCCTTTCCTGACGGCCATCTGAGACACCGCAGCAGTTAGTTCGTCATGAGTCAGCTCAGAGCTGAGCGTGTTCTGTCCCTCTGAGCTCAGCTGAGGAAGGTCCCTGCAGAAGCTCTGCAGGCAGAATCCACATCACATTCATCAGCCCTTAACAAATCCGTGTAGAAATCCACTGCATGCTTCCTCATCTCAGCCGGCTCTGTGGTCACCTTTCCCTCAGGAAGCCGCAGACACAACATCTGTTTTCTCTTTACCACTGATTTTTCCAAACTGAAAAAGAGAGGCAGTGGGTGCGTCTATGTCCTGGAGTTTGGTGAAACGGGCTCGGACTAAAGCTCCTTTGGCTCTTGCTGTGCATAAAGGAGTTAAGCTCCTGTCTTTTTTCTTTTAGGCTGGCATTATTCTGCGGATCAGCTTGTGAGACACTTTCCAAAGTCTGTTATCTCTTTTTCTAAATTCTCCACTACTCTCTTAATTTTGGCTGTTGAATAGGAGGTGTATTGTTGACAAAAAAACCTTAATTTGGGCTTTTCATACCTCCCACCACTGAGTAGAGGGAGAAAAACCATCTTTCCTAGATCTCCAGTAAGCCAAAACATTTTAAATTGTTCACAGAAATTCAAATCCTGTAATAATCTATTATTAAAATGCCAAAAAGATCTGGGTTTTCCGTTGGAAGATAAGATCAGCTCCATCAAAACTAAATGATGGTCTGTGAAAGCCACAGGGATGATCTGACAGTTTGTAACCCTAGCAGAAAAAGGCCTTGGGTAAATAAAACCTGTCCAATCTGGCTGCACTAACTCTACCATCTGATATTTTAAACCCATGGTGTATTGCTTGCATGTAGGATGCATCATCCTCCACACATCCACTAAATCACTTTTCTTTAGAACATGAGACAATACAGAGGAAGACTGAAAATGTGGCTCAAACTCCAGTCCTATCCAACAGTAAAGTCAGTGCAACAGTTCCAGTCTCCACCCAAAAACAATAAACTCCCCTTGACCAATATCATTTATTTCTCTCTTCCAATATTTTAAAGATCTCTTCACGCTCAGAGCCCTTGGTTGGTGCATACACATTAATAAAGCTAATCAGAAACTCATCTATTTCAGCTCTCACTAGAATAACTCTACTCTACCCTTCACTTCCTCTGTGCTGGATATTATTGTTTATATTTAAAAGCGGGGAGAATAAAATAGCTACTCCTGCACTCAAATGTGTCCCATGGCTAAGGAACATGCGGCCCCCCCCACCATAGACCCCAGTCAGTTTCATTTATGCTGTCACTGTGAGTTTCTTGTAGAAATACTACATCTAGCTTTTTCTGTTGATAACTTCTGTTACTAAGGCTCTCTTTGAGCGTCTCTGCCCCCATTCATATTTAATGAGGGCTACCCTTAAACCCTGACTATGAGGAGAAGAGAGACAGGCCATTAAGAAACAAGATAGAAAAAAGACAGTAAGGAGGAAACACCCGGTGTTGTATGATCATAATTTACGACTCCTTTTTTTAGCCACGTTGTCCTTTTTGTTTAAAAGCTTCCTCAGTGTAGTGATGTGTTTTCTTGAGGCGATACCGTTTTTTTTCATCAAGTAAGTCTAGCCCAACAACCTTCTGAATTGTCGTGGCTGACTTAACAAACTTTTCAACATCAGGGAAATAATTATTTACATATTACTATTACTGATTCCCAAAAGTTTCATCCAGAAACTCCTGGATCTGTTCAAAAGAGTAGAGATCCTCACTCTGAGAAACACTGTCACCTACGGAGACACTATCTGATTCAGAGTCAGACTCCATATCTACTCCATCATACCAGCTGATTTCCCCCCCTGCTCTGCCTCACTGTCCAGTTTTTGTGACAGCTGAGCCTGTTTCCCAGAGACCCCCTGCAGCTCCCGCTCTGAGCACTCCATCACACCCTCTCTGCATCCAGCCCTGACCTGAGCCTCATCCTCCACAACTGCTTTCATATTAATCCCCGCAAACAACGGCCTAACACCCACAGAAACTGCGGCTTTAACTGCCGTCATGGGACCAAACACAAACCCGCCTGGCACCACTGCTGCGGGTAACACAGGCACGGGCATGACTACACTGGGCACAGCGAGTGCGGGTACAGCGGGTGCAGCGGGTGCAGCCGGTGCAGCG